TCCTATTGGCTTCTGTTGCTTTAAAGTTTCTGCATTAGTTCCTTTTCATTGAGGACTTCAAATGCTATCTTGTTTTTTTGGGGGAGAGTTTCTTGCCTATCCTCATACCTCCCTGTGTGCTTTTACCTCATCATGTGATCAATAGTTCAATCCCCCGTTGTGTTGCTCTTGATCTAATGTCCGCATATGAGGGAGAACAACGATTTTTGGTCTTCTGGGCAGGCTAACCTCACCAGAAGATGTTCTCTAGTTCCATCCATTTACCTGCAATATGATAAGATTTCATTCTTCTTCATGCTGAGTAGTATTCCATTTGTATTAAAAACCTCATTTCTTTTTTTTTTTTTTTTTTATTTTTTCTTTTATATTATTCATCAAGTTTTGTTCTATTTCTCGTGCATACACTTGCTCCCCCTGCCCCACCCCTCCCTTACCACCCACTCCACCCCTCCCTCCCCCCTCAATACCCAGCAGAAACTATTTTGCCCTTATCTCTAATTTTGTTGTAGAGAGAGTATAAGCAATAATAGGAAGGAACAAGGGTTTTGCTGGTTGAGATAAGGATAGCTATACAGGGCATTGACTCACATTGATTTCCTGTGCGTGGGTGTTACCTTCTAGGTTAATTCTTTTTGATCTAACCTTTTCTCTAGTTCCTGGTCCCCTTTTCCTATTGGCCTCAGTTGCTTTAAGGTATCTGCTTTAGTTTCTCTGCATTAAGGGCAACAAATGCTAGCTAGTTTTTTAGGTGTCTTACCTATCCTCACCCCTCCCTTGTGTGCTCTCGCTTTTATCATGTGCTCATAGTCCAATCCCCTTGTTGTGTTTGCCCTTGATCTAATGTCCACATATGAGGGAGAACATACGATTTTTGGTCTTTTGGCCAGGCTAACCTCACTCAGAATGATGTTCTCCAATTCCATCCATTTACCAGCGAATGATAACATTTCGTTCTTCTTCATGGCTGCATAAAATTCCATTGTGTATAGATACCACATTTTCTTAATCCATTCGTCAGTGGGGGCATCTTGGCTGTTTCCATAACTTGGCTATTGTGAATAGTGCCGCAATAAACATGGATGTGCAGGTGCCTCTGGAGTAACAGTCTTTTGGGTATATCCCCAAGAGTGGTATTGCTGGATCAAATGGTAGATCGATGTCCAGCTTTTTAAGTAGCCTCCAAATTTTTTTCCAGAGTGGTTGTACTAGTCTACATTCCCACCAACAGTGTAAGAGGGTTCCTTTTTCCCCGCATCCTCGCCAACACCTGTTGTTGGTGGTGTTGCTGATGATGGCTATTCTAACAGGGGTGAGGTGGAATCTTAGTGTGGTTTTAATTTGCATTTCCTTTATTGCTAGAGATGGTGAGCATTTTTTCATGTGTTTTTGGCCATTTGAATTTCTTCTTTGAGAAAGTTCTGTTTAGTTCACTTGCCCATTTCTTTTATTGGTTCATTAGTTTTGGGAGAATTTAGTTTTTTAAGTTCCCTGTATATTCTGGTTATCAGTCCTTTGTCTGATGTATAGTTGGCAAATATTTTCTCCCACTCTGTGGGTGTTCTCTTCAGTTTAGAGACCATTTCTTTTGATGAACAGAAGCTTTTTAGTTTTATGAGGTCCCATTTATCTATGCTATCTCTTAGTTGCTGTGCTGCTGGGGTTTCATTGAGAAAGTTCTTACCTATACCTACTAACTCCAGAGTATTTCCTACTCTTTCTTGTATCAACTTAAGAGTTTGGGGTCTGATATTAAGATCCTTGATCCATTTTGAGTTAATCTTGGTATAGGGTGTATACATGGATCTAGTTTCAGTTTTTGCAGACTGCTAACCAGTTTTCCCAGCAGTTTTTGTTGAAGATGCTGCTATTTCTCCATCGTATATTTTTAGCTCCTTTGTCAAAGATAAGTTGCTTATAGTTGTGTGGCTTCATATCTGGATCCTCTATTCTGTTCCACTGGTCTTCATGTCTGTTTTTGTGCCAGTACCATGCTGTTTTATTATTATTGCTTTGTAATATAGTTTGAAGTCAGGTATTGTGATACCTCCTGCATTGTTCTTTTGACTGAGTATTGCCTTGGCTATTCGTGGCCTCTTGTGTTTCCATATAAATTTAACAGTAGATTTTTCAATCTCTTTAATGAATGTCATTGGAATTTTGATGGGAATTGCATTAAACATGTAGATTACTTTGGGAGTATAGACATTTTACTATGTTGATTCTACCAATCCATGAGCATGGGAGATCTCTCCACTTTCTATAGTCTCCTCAATCTCTTTCTTCAGAAGTGTATAGTTTTCCTTGTAGAGGTCTTTCACATCTTTTGTTAGGTTTACACCTAGGTATTTGATTTTTTTGAGGCTATTGTAAATGGAATTGTTTTCATACTTCTTTTCCGTTTGCTCATTGTTAGTGTATAGAAATGCTAATGATTTTTCTATGTTGATTTTATATCCTGCTACCTTGCTATAGCTATTGATGTCTAGAAGCTTCTGAGTAGAGTTTTTTGGGTCTTTAAGGTATAGGATCATGTCGTCTGCAAATAGGGATATTTTGACAGTTTCTTTACCTATTTATTCCTTTTATTCCTTCTTGCCTAATTGCTCTGGCTAGGAATAAACACAATTCTTTCCATTCGTCAAGTAGTGGGGCATCTTGGGTTTTTTCCATAATGGCTATAAAGGAATAGTGCTGCAAATAAAACATGGGTCAGGTGCCTCTGATAACCTGTGTCACAGCCTTGGATATATCCGACCAGAGTGGTATAGCTTGATCATAATGGAAGAGCTATGTTTATATTTATAAGAGCTCCAAATTTTTTTCCAGAGTGGTTGTATAGTTGCATTCCTACTCACAGTGTACAATGGTTCCTTTTTCCCCACACATCCCACACTTTGTTGTTACTGGTGTTGTGTAGTGATGGCTATTCTATCCAGGGTACAGGTGGAACATCTTAATGTGGTTTTGATTGCATCTGTCCTTAGTCGGCCCCTGAATTTCTTAGCTAGCATTAATTAAAATTTAAGACAAAAAATATTCATCCATGGTCATATGTATTTATTTTTTTTAAATAATTTAAAAAGCTTTAGACCTAAAGTTTAAAAATTTAGAACCAATTTTAAATTAATTTGCCTTTTAAAATCCATTTCCTATAGTCCCTGGCCCTGAAATTCTTAAGCTAGCATTATAAAATTAAGACAAAAAATAATTCATCAAATGGTCATATATATTATGTTTTTTAAACTAATTAAACCTCTTTAGAATGTTTAAAAAAATTTTAGAAAACAATTTAAATTTAATTTGCTTTTAAAATCCATTTAGTTTTCCATGTTTAATGCTATACTCTATATTACCGATAAAATCCAAGTTAGCCAAATTTTTGCCTTTATATTCATATGGAAAGCAAGGCAAATAAAACGTTTAGGTTTAAATTTAATTTTTTTCAAAATATAAATCTCCAGAATAGAGGTAAATGATGTCTTTTGGAGAAAAGTAAATGTCAAGAACTGATTCCCTGTCTTCAGAAACTCTTGTTAGAAAATACTTATGGGAGAATCTTACAAGAATTGATTAGATTAATTGCTTTTGAAATTAAAATGATGTAGTGAGGGTTTTTTTTCTTTGAAATAATGAACATTTTAATGGGACAAATCTTGAAAGGCCATAGAGAGGATTTTATGCGTAGATTCATAAGGTCACTAAAGGGAATAGCTAATGTGGCACTAGTACGTAGTCCCCACCTCTCTGGACCAAGTGTTCCACCACCGAAATGCCCACTTTGCCACATTTGGGTCTTTGAATCTCATGGTAGAAGTCAGATGGAGGGTGGTATCTTGAAGGAATAAATATATCCCCATTTTAAATCTCAGTTCATGCCTCCCTCTACTTGTCTACTCAGGTAAGCAGCAAGAGCCTAACACTAATGTTAGCCCCGGGGGTCCCAGCAAAGCAGGGAAGTTGGGGTGAAAGCTTGTGGGTGGTGTCTAATCATTATGTCCCAGGGCCAGTCAAGAAGGGGAGCATTGTGCATTCAGAGGTAACAGCATGTCTGTGTGAGGAGCAAAGCCTGTGAAAACTGAGAGGCAGAACCTTTTCCTGATTCTTGTGGGAATCAGTAAGAATTGCATCTAACTAGGTAGAAGTATAATGGAATGCCATGACTGAAGATATTTGGATATACTCTTCAAGCAGCCCTTCCACTTGTAATCTCTCTAAAAGAAAAAGTCGATCTTAATTAGATAGGAGCAATACACACCAGATATAAGCTGGAGGAAATGACTGAATAATTTTCACGTAAAGAAATGATAAATGCTTCAGGAGGTAGATATGTTTAAACCTGATTTAAACATTATACATATGTACATGTACATTGAAACATCAACAATATAAATAAATGTATATAATTTTTATGGTTTATGTATAAGTTAAAAATATATTCAAATTTTTTTAATGAACTGATTTTATTAATGGTTTTTGGTATAAATAAATGTAGTTAATTTGAAATTTCCAGTCAGAACACATGTGACCTGTCAAGGTTATAGCAGATAATAATCTTACACCATATTCACAATCCAGCTACTACATATCTAAACCATATAAAACATTCTCACATTGCACAGAATTGTTAATGGGGATGTGGAGGAGGAAGCATCCATTCACATAACAATTACATGCCAAAAATGTAATAGGGACCAGAAAAACTATTTTAAAATGTAGAACATTGGAAAAACGTGATCAATATGATTAGGAGCAGATTAGAAGCCAGCATGGGGAGCTAAGATCTGAAGTGGGGTTTTGGGATGGGCGAATTTGATAAAAAAATAAGGGGACCGTTCTGCATTTTGGCTCTACATAGATCATGATATAGGCTCCTTTAAAGTCCAGTGGGCAGCTTTGAGGGAAGAGAATTCTAATGTTGAATTTGTAAGAAAAATTACACCAGTTGGAATCTGTTTGCATGGAGTAAGTAATGCAAGGAGTAATGTCCTATCTTCCTCTAGGTGTGTCTGCACAGCTCACCAGCACCCCGGCACCATCGACACCTCTGTAGGAACTCCATTTTGGATGGCTCCTGAGCGTCGGAGAGAATGTTGAAGGAAACTAGTTTAATATTCAATCCTTTGACTTTTCTTTTCATGTGCACTCTACCTCCATAAGTGTTTTAGAATGCACAAGAAGAAAAGTCAGTAGGTTGTTAGCTTAGCATGGGATTTTATACATGTGTGAGGAGGAACATGGGAAGTACTCAGTAAACAGATGTAAAGGAATACACGAATCAGTGAAAAATGAACGAGTAAGCCAGATGAAGTAAAGAGACACTTACAGGTTTATTTTTCATTAATTCACCGTTAATTCTTTAAGCAATGTATCTATCATTACAGGTATTTATGTTTAAACTATGTTTCTCAAGAAATAACACTTACTTTGAAAACTCTACAACTATTGGGGAAAGCTCTGTTACTTATCTACAATTTTCTAAGGAGTGAAAAGCGAAGTAATTTAAATGCTATATTAATATTGCAAATTCTGCTAATTAAATTTGCAGATTAAATCCTGTATACCCTTTTTTCTGTTTGAAAACAAATTCAATTATTACTTAAAAAAAGTTAAAATGTACATTCAACATAAAATATGGAGAAAAGGATAAATTATTTTAAGCAGCTTTATTTTTAAAAATCCAATCAATTAAAAAACTTTTAACAGGGACTACGTTTTAGAATAAAAATAGAAAGCACAGCCATTAAGAAAAAACTGAATAAAAAAATCACAAATGAGAATGTCTTTAGAACTTGCTCTGAGAATCACTAGTAACTTTTAAAGTTTCTGAAATATTACAAAAATTAGCAGTCAATAAAAATGTAGCTATATAGCAAATACTGCATTTTGTTTTATATGTTAATAAAATATAAATAATAGAGCATATAATTATATGGCTATAAAATTAGTACCTAACTGTATGTTTTATATGTTCATTTATAGAGTAATGCCATTAGTATATTTTTAAGTTTTCCATTTGTTGAAAACACTACTAATATACAGTTACTAGGGCTGGTGGTGTGCTCAATGGTAAAGCATCTGTCTACCAAGCATGAGGTCCTGAGTCAAACCCCAGAACTGCAAAAAAAAAAAAAAAAATTACTGGACAGTCATTTTTATGTCATTATTATTATTGGATAAACTTATGGTAGCACGAAAAGGGTTTGAAAATTCTTTCCTGATAGTGAACTAATGGCTATTAGAAGGGAAAAAATCTCCCTGCAGTTTTTTCCAAACCATCGTAAATATATGCTTAGATTTTGAGAACATTCCACTCATCTCTTTGTAATAGTACTTTGTTATCTTGAAGAAGCATATAACTGAATGATCAGCTTTCTAACCTCAAGATATCCCATACGTAACACCTCTATGTTACTATTTATTTATTTATTTATTTTTGGCAGGATTGGGGTTTGAACTCAGGACCTTGTGTTTGCTGGGCAAGTGCTCTACCATTTGAGCCCTGCCCCCAGCCCTTTTTACTTTAGCTATATTCCAGAGAGTATCTTGTGATTTTTTGCTTGTGCTGTCCTCAGACCATAGTCTTCCCTCATAGCTGGGATTATGTACTACCACACCTAGCTTGTTCTTTGACATAGGGTCTCACTAATTTTTATTACCCAGACTGGCCTCAAACCACAATCCTCCTATCTGTGCTTCCCAGTAGGCGGATTTACAGGCATGAACCACCATGCCTGGCCCAATACTTCTATGTTATTTATGACATATTTCTAGGAATTAGAAATTAAAAGGTAAACAAATATAAATATATTCATCATGATGACATAAGAGTACTTCAATCTTTTTAAGGCCTCAGAAACAAACTTGTTGAAATCAATTATCAGTTGAACAATGAAATTCTTGATTTGGCATCTTTAAATTTAAGTCTGCATCCGAGGCAGTGTTTGTCAGTTACAAAAAACAATCCTTCCCAAACTGGAGTGCATGTGTGCCAAAAAGAAGGGATCAAGGGAAATAGTGACTGTGGTAGGTGACCATACAAAGTCTACAAATCACACTTTGGAGACTGAACAGGGTTGGTTGTTTTAAAGAACCCAAGAGAGCAAGCACAAACCAGGAATGCTCCAGGCAAACTGGGACTAAGTTCATCTGTGCCCATGGGTGGTGTTAAAAGACCACATGTTGTTAGGAAAGAAGTGATGGCATAAAAGAAAACATTATTTTTATACTAAAGCAAAGGTACATCATACAACAAAATGGAAAATTATATGAAGGTATTTTTTAAATTGTTAACAGCTTTGTAGAGATACAAGTCCCATACCACACAATTCTTCCACTGAACACGTGCAGTGTTCAATGTTAGTGCATATTCACAGGATTGTGGATTAATCTAAGTTTGGAACATTTTTGTTCCCCTAAAAGAAAACCATGTACTGTTAAGGAGTACTCCCCATTCTCCCACACCCCTGCCCTAAGCAACCATTGATCGGTTTTTAGCTCTATGGATTTGCCAGTTCTGGACATTTTATATCAATGGAATTATGCACTATTTATTGCTGTGCCTGGCTTCTTTGATTTAACTTAATATTTTCAAGGTTCATCTGTGTTGTGGCATTTATCAGTACTGCTTTTGTGGCTGAAAAATATACCACTGTATTTATATGTCACATTATGTGTATCCATGCATCAGTTGAGGGGAAGTTGGGTCATTTCTACTTTGGCTATTATGAATAATTCTGCTCTGAATGTTTGCCACGTGAATTTTCAGTGTGGACCATAGAACTCTTATGCTGGTTTTCTATACTTTAGGCTGTGTGCTCAGATGTTAGCAGTTCAGTAATATTAAAAATTACTAAATTAAAAGTATTTGGTGAAAATATTGAGAAGCACCATTAAAGATGATTCCCCCTCATACTAAGTTGAAAATGATATTCCCTCACGATTTGTATAATATATATATATATATGTATATAAAACATATGTGTTAAACACATATGTATTAATGTATGTGTATTTTATTATTTGCCTTCAGGTGCTTAGAATTGATCTGTTCATGGCTTTCTTATTTATTTGACCTTGAACTCACCAACCCAGAACCAGAATATTCCCAATGGTACTTGCTTCTGTCTTGTTCTCTAGCCCATCTTCTTTCTCTTCTAGCAGGAACTGTCACCCTAAATGTTGTACTCATCATTGCTCCTTTCATTTTTTAATCACACTAATATGTTTATATTTAGATGATTTCCTGTCATTGCTTTCAGTGTCAGGTATGAATAAAGACTGACTTATGAAAGAGTCCCCCTTTCTGAACAATGTGTGGAAAGGTCACACACTAACCTCCAGTGTGCCCAACACAGGAGTTTTTAAGTGGAATCAGAAAGATGAGGAAAGTTGTTCCAGACAAAGCCTTCAGTGCTTGACTTTACATATCAATTTACAATACTTTAGTTAAATTACACAACTCTAATCTGCATTGTCCCCAAATAACTTTATGTTTTGTGGGTTGCATCACGAAACATAAAATTTTTTAAATATAAGAAAATGATTTTCAAAATGTAAAGCTGAATTTTCTTTTTTGTGATCACTAATGTAAACAGTTATCATTTCCAGGCCATCTATATTTACATATTTAGAAATAAATTGTGAAATAATTATTGCAATAATTTTTCTGTATGCTACTAGTTCATAATATTGCAAAAGCAAATCCCCTCCCCTCTTTTTTCTTGTCTCTCAATTACATCCTTTTGGAGAGTGGCATGTTTTTAAACATGGTTGTAAATTTATAACATAGTGTAGCCCAGATAAGCGGTTAGTAAACCTTCACCAGTGTTTTATTTTTATTCGGTTTACTTTTGTATTATTAATGATGGCTTGAACCTTTCTGCATTCTTCCAAACTTGCTTCATTTCTCCCTTGGCCTTCTAATTGCCAATAAAGATCAAGGCCATCTAACTAGACTGCTGTCAAGTTTATTTTGCTTTACTTCCTTCACTTTTAATTCTTTATCTCTGTTAGGTGAATGTCTATTCCTCATCAAATGTCGAGTGGACTGCCATTGCACAGTCTTTAGCTGTGTATTTGATTCATCCTTTCCATTTAGGACACTGTCTCTTTCCTCCTTTTGTCTTACATTTTCAAAAATATTCCTTCGCATATGCTTCTTCCATTATATTTACCAACCTGCTAACATATTCTATGTCCTCAGAGTAAAAATACTATGACTCATAATAATTTATAGCTTATTCTTTTCTTTAAATTACTGTTTTTATCTTTACTTGTAGCTATCAAACTTTACTGTTGAAACACTTAAGCCTTTTTCTAAATGCTTGCTACATGCATATTAAAGACACAGATTTTACCATTTTGTTATTGTCTTCTTCTAGGTGATTGCATGTGAGCAACAATTAGATACCACTTTGATTGCCAGATGTGACACGTGGTCCTTGGGTATCACAGCCATTGAGCTGGGAGATGGAGATCCACCACTAGCTGACCTGCACCCCATGAGAGCACTCTTCAAAATACCAAGGTCAGATGACTCACATCAGTCTATGCACTGTTGCCCATTTTTCTTCCTCCAGCCCCTGACTTCTCATCATGTCCATGAGGAAAATATTCAGATATGCTCCAATCCAGCAATTAAAGCGGAGTGGCATGGAGAGTTCTTCTTCTAAGACTATATATTTTTTTTTAGTTATCGAAGTAAAAGAGCTCCCCCACTCCTTAAGGTCTCTCTAGTGAGTCAGTGAGACACCTGGTGTTGATCAATACAACAGTGATTTGCTTCACCTGCCAATCCAGAAATTTGTAAGAATTCTTGTTGCTCAGAACGTTAAAACAATGTTATTAGTAAGAAAAAATAAGTAAAATTTATTGATAAAATAACAATGATTTTGAATACTGCTATTTTGAATATGTCAATACAAAATAATACAGAAGAGTATCCTCTTTGTAGCCACAAAGTACTTCACCATCTGTACAGAACCCTTCCTTCCAATGTGTGTGTATCAACAAATTTTCCTCTGCTTATCCTGCCACTAATTTCTTTAAATACCATTTTATATATGTTAGTTCTAGATAGTTCAGAAAATGAATATGAAAAAGTTTCCTATCTTAATTACAGGTTTTCATTTTTAAAGGCTTCAAGGACTTTGCCTGCTACCTTCATCTAATGGAAGACACAGTACAGCTGATGACAGGGATCCATGCAAGGTGTTTTACAGTTGTACTACACGTCTCCATTAAAAGCACATTTTGTATCTCAACACCGAAAGACACAGAATCATATGTACAAGCCTGCAGGGGAGTGTTCTATCCTAAAATAAAATACCAATGTTCCACTCATGGAATATATTCCAAACGGGTTCATTTGAAATTTCACATGTAGAAAATTATTATAACACCAGCATTTAAACTGTTGTTAATTTGGCCCTGAATTTCCTCTCTTGTATAGGTTCTGAATTACACTTAGATATATATTATCCTTTACATAACAGTTTCAATGTTGTTTCAGGCCTTATGCTTATGCCAAATAGTGCACCTATTTGGTAAGTGATGTAACAAGTTAAGAAAAAGTGAGGAAAATTCTTCTATATACCAGCTCCAAGACATTTTATAAATTTAAAGACATAGAAAAATTGTTTTCTTACTCCTGTTGCCATTCAGTATGTAAGATGAAGCTCTGTTTTTTTGAACCCTTTTAATTGTGGGCAATCACCATATTAATCAAATGCTATTATCTTGGTGATAATACATGTGCAGGAATGATGGCCACCATGATACATTGTACCTGGTAAAGTCCCTTGCTAGTATTCTGGAAACTGTGTCAAGTTAGTTATCATTTATTATTTGTACCACAATATATCTCTAAAATAGAATTCTGAGAATATGGCTGTAAAATATGTGAAATGGAGATCTTGGAAAAGCTACCCATTCAAATTCTATAAAATCATCAAAACTTTCTTATACTCAAAGCAAGCCAATAAATCTCATAAAAGGAAATTTTCAGGGGACAAGAAATAAAACAAGATTGTTGGCAAAAAAGAAGTACTTCTTTTAATGTGCAAATCAGCAGTCTTTAAATAGTCCTGAGGATTGTGAAATGAGGCTTAGACGTGATTTAGGGTAGATGAGTAGCTGCACTTTTCTTTAATGAGTCTGTACAAACTGTACATTAATTTCATTATAAGCTATTTAAGGAGTAATGCAGAACTGAAGACAAAGTATTTCCATTCCACTAATGAAAAAAAAAAGCTGTTAGAATTAACATAAAGCAGCACTTCAGCAAATTCAGCTCTCATGGTTGATCAATGTTGCTTGATTACAGAGTTAGATCAACCTCATTTTCAAGTGATGTTCCTTTATGTAATGGACGTGCCAAAAAAAAAAGATTTGTTTCAGCTTCAAAATGAAAAGAATTAATGACAATCTTTTAAGTGACATTCAGAGCTTTTATAGCTAATAATACTTTCCAGTTCCTTGCTTTTGTAACAGTTTGTAATACTTGTTTCCTGCCATGTATCCAGTAACAAAAGAACAATTCATCAAGGCATTGTACTGTGCCCCTCTCTTCTGCAGTTGTTCTCTATTTCAAACAGCCCTCCTTTCAGGTCACCTCTGAGCAAGCTGGGTAGTCAGTCCTCGGAGACTTCTGCAGGACTTTGAGAAAGAAAAATCTTTACCCCAGGTTTCTTTTATTATTATTATTATTCATACGTGCATACAATGCTTGGGTCATTCTCCCCCCTGCCCCTACCCCCTCCCTTACCACCCACCCCGCCTCCTCCCTCTCCCACCCACCCCCTCAATACCCGGCAGAAACTATTTTGCCCTTATCTCTAGTTTTGTTGAAGAGAGACTATAAGCAATAATAGGAAGGAAGAAGGGTTTTTGCTAGTTGAGTAAGGAATAGCTAAACAGGGAGTTGACTCACATTAATTTCCTGTGCATGTGTGTTACCTTCTAGGTTAATTCTTTTTGATCTAACCTTTTCTCTAGCTCCTGGTCCCCTTCTCCTATTGGCCTCAGTTGCTTTTAAGGTAACTGCTTTAGTTTCTCTGCATTGAGGGCAACAAATGCTAGCTAATCTTTAGGTGTCTTACCTATCCTCATATCTCCTTGTGTGCTCTCGCTTTTATCTTGATCAAAGTCAATCCCCTTGTTGTGTTTGCCCTTGATCTAATGTCCACATATGAGGAGAACATACGATTTTTGGTCTTTTGGGCCAGGCTAACCTCACTCAGAATATGTTCTCCATTCCATCCATTTACCAGCAAATGATAACATTTCGTTCTTCTTCATGCTGCATAAAATTCCATTGTGTATAGATACCACATTTTCTTGATCCATTCATCAGTAGTGGGGCATCTTGGCTGTTTCCATAACTTGCTATTGTGAATATGCTGCAATAAACATGGTGTGCAGGTGCCTTGGAGTAACTGTGTCACAGTCTTTTGGGTATATCCCCAAGAGTGGGTATTGCTGGCAACGGTAAGTCGATTTAGATTTTTAAGGAGCCTCCAAATGTTTTCCAGAGTGTTGTACTAGTTACATTCCCACCAACAGTGTAAGAGGTCCTTTTCCCCTCATCCTCGCCAAACCTATTTTGGTGTTGAATGATGGTTATTCTAACAGGGGTGAGTGGAATTTTAGTTGGTTTTAATTTGCATTTCCTTTATGCTAGAGATTTTACCCGTTGTTCTTTGTTTCCATTCTGCTAAGATTTATGTTTTTCCTTAGGGCTCTCAGTAAAGGTGAGAAGATTTAAAGGGAAAAAATAATAGTTGGAAAAATGATCATATATTAAATGCTTGCAAAGAAACAAGGAACTTGTCATTTTGTATAAAGATAATTAATAACTGTATCTTTCTTTGAATTGGAGAATGGGGCAGTCTTTGAACTGGCAGAATCTGTGATTATAGTAAATAATGTTAGTCTGTGACAGCTGTGTTTCTCCTATGCACTTGACTAACCAACATACACTATCTAACCTGGTTATATTTTCCAAGAAATCCACCTCCAAAACTAAGCAGCCTGACTGTTGGGTCAACAGAATTCAATGACTTCATTACAAGTGAAACAATAATCCTAAAAAAAAAAAAAACACAGAGGTATCACCTGCATAACTGTGAAAAGTGCCTTTACAAACTGGGCCACATGCTTCCAAATCACTCCATTCTTATTTCTCCAGTTGTTCCAGCAGTTTTCGTTGCTTTCTTTTTCCAAAAAGAAGCATCTTAGTGTCCTGAATGTTCATCATCAGTCAATAATTACTCAGTCGAGTTTTATTTCACATACCTATACTGCTTCTGTGGACAACTTAATCATCCGTGACATCTCTTCTGTTCACTGACAGCAGCTATGTCTTCAGCAACTCTCACCTGCTCACCTCCACCTGCTAGTCAGTCATTTAACCCTTCATTTCTCCTGCATCACTAAAATTCCCATACAGTCAGAGAAATTTCACTTTGCAATCAGCGAATCAGAAAATCGTACTTAGAAAAACCTACATTTAAATGCAGGGAACATTTTAATTTGACAAATATTTAGCACGAGCACACACCTCCATATAATTGATGAAAAAACTAAGGAGTCACTCATTTACAAAAATTTGTCCCATAAACCTTTTGCGTAATTTTCGTGTCTTTACCTTAAAACCTGCAGCAGCAGCTATGTCTTCAGCAACTCTCACCTGCTCACCTTCCACCTGGCTTAGTCAGTCATTTAACCCTTCATTTCTCGCATCACTAATTCCCATTACAGTCAGAGAAAATTTCACTGCAATCAGCGAATCAGAAAATCGTACTTAGAAAAACCTTATGCATTTGAAATGCAGGGAACATTTTTAATTTGACAAATTATTTAGCACGAGCACACAGCACCTCCATATAATTGATTAGAAAAACTAGGAGTCACTCATTTACAAAAATTTGTCCCATAAACCTTTCTGCGTAATTTTTTGTATGTCTTTACCTTAAAAAGATAAGAGTGACCCTGATGTAAATGAGAGGGAAAGGTCATTAAGATTTAGTGTGCTGAACTCCACTCAGAAAAAGGTAGAAAAGGGCAAAGAAAGCAAAGGAACACAGTCATACTCATGCATCCTGTTATCATTAGGTTTCCTACCAAGAATACTGCTTATTCTTCTACAGACAAGAGATTTAGATTGAAGAGTTGGTGAGAACCCAAGATGAATCAATAATCTCTTTTTCACTATGTATTACTAAGTATGTGCTGTGCACAATCTTACCTACTAAAGTGTCGTCCACATTTCTCAAGTCTTTTAGGAAAATCACTGAACTGTGAAGGGATCCTCATGATTCATAACGTCTGCCTCCCGTCTACCAGATCTTCCGTGTACATCCTCACTGGAGCTTGGGTTGTTTGACATATTTTCTCACAGTCTCCTGGTTTCTTCCAGGCAGTTAGTATTCTGTCCTGTGTGCTTGTATTCTGTTCCTCTGCCACTAGTATTTAATGTGCGTCTCTCTAACTGGACAATAAGCAACTCTAGAGGAGGGTATGTGCCTCCCTCGTCACTGTCACTCCAGTGTCCGGCAGAGTACCTGGTACACATTAGCTATTTGATAAAGTTTTACTTTAATAAAAAATTTCCTATATGACTGTTCTGACCCTATAGATGTGAATGCCTGCAGATTTCAGAAATTGCTGCATTTTCCCAGACTAAAATGAACCCAAGAACGCTGTTCTTGTTTTCAAACACTGTTGTCCTTATTTCTTAGAATATTTTAGTATTCCCTAGGAAAATACTTTTGGTTAACGATCAATGAAATAAATTTCCAAATCATCATCCAAGGAGTACCAACCACACTGACTGTGAATTACCACTGCTTAAGCCAAGAACTCAGCCCCGATGGCTGCAGCCCTCCTCCTCCTCATTCTCTTACCTTTTTTTTTCTTTTATTTTAATTGCGGTACTGGGGATTGAACTCAAAGCATCTTGTTGGCTAAGCAAGCGACTCTATCACTTGAGCACCCAGTTCCTTTGTTTTTAGTTTTCATTTAATTTTTTTTTTTCAGAGAGAGTTTAGTACTAACTTTGCAGGACTACAGTCCTCACCTCAACCTCCCAAGTATCTGGATTACAGGAGTGCACCAGCAGTCCTTTTTTGCTGATTTTTTTTTTAATTCCCCAAATCACAGACCAATGTTTTCATAACATCTGTATGTCTAGATTTGAAGGGTCTTGGGAAGTTATATAGTTAAACTCTTATCCAGAGCTTAAATCCTTCTTGAACATATGCACCGAGTAGCACTCAATCAACACATATCAGTAGTAAAAGTAATCAGGCTTCCCGGGACAGCGGATTTTCACACAATGAGCCTCACTTGAAAAGTTCCTTTAAACTGACCTGAAATCTTTCTCTCCTTTTAAATTTTTTATTATCATATTATTGTTGTACTGGGGGTGCATTGTGATACAGAAGTCTTACAATATATCATACTTGAATTCACCCTCTCCATCATTCTCCTTTTTTTTTTTTTGGCTGGGGGTTTGAACTCTTGGCCTTACTCTGGGTAGAGAGCTTTCTAAACAGAAACTCTACCACTTGAGTCACTCCACCAGTCTTAGTTTTTTTCTTTGTAAACACTGAGAGAACTAGTTGAATCTCTTCAAAATATTTGAAGACAGCTGTCATTGCTGATTAAACAATCTGTTTGTTCTCATGCTCTACCTGTGAGATCCTGGCCAGCACTCACCAGCCTTACCCTTTCTGTGAATATACTCTGGTTGAAGCTAGGAACAGGTGTAATATTCATTAGTACATCCCCTACCACCTCAAAACACACCTGCTGACATGGAATTCAAACATCCTCAGCAGATGAGCCTTCTCTTAGTTTCATCACTAGAAAGAAATAGTTCAATCAAGAAGTCTTTAAAAGCATTGTGAAAAGAAAAGTGAAGTCTGTGTTAATTTTAGATAAGTATTAAGACTGTAATGACGTCATTGTCATTTATCTTTAGCTATGAACTTGGAAAGGGGACTTTGCAGTGGAGACAGAGTTTAATTATCTGCCAGCAAGCGGTAATGCTTGCTGGGAGATTAAGACAGTAGTATCCAGTTGAAAGTTGGTATCACGACAGCATCATCACTCACAGATGTGTGCACTTTTGCAAACATTGATTCATTCTGTTGTGGCCTCCTATTTGGGGATGTGCTTCAGCTGAGCACTTGTGAGGAACATCACTCTCTTAGAGTTGTTTTTTAGGCTTCTGAATAGTTTCAAAAACTGTAACTTTTCTAATCCTTGCATGTCCTTTCTGCCAGTGCAGGTGCTTGACTAAAGATTATGAAAAGCGTCCAACAGTGACAGACCTTTTACAGCATCAATTCATTACTCAAATCGAGGGCAAAGATGTGATGTTACAAAAACAACTAATTGGAATTTATCAATATTCATCAAATGCGTGGGAAGCACAGAAAAAGCCAGGTAAGTCCAATACCTTAAGTTCCAAGGTTCAGAGATTATCTAAAGACTCAGAATAGTTTTATAATGCAATCAATAATTGAAGGTAATAGAAGAACTCATTTAGGTTCTCTGCTTGTGATTCAAAGGCAATGGAATATTTGCACAGTGAATGTCCCATGTTGAGTTGCATCCCTTTGTGGTTGGTGAAATTACTGGCAATATTTTTTAAATGACTTCACCAGATCAAAAATTGTACTTTCATAGGTGATTAGTGTTGGTACAAATTTTCTTTATTTTCTGGTCTTTTGTAAAGATATGGGATTTTAAAAGGAACATACATCTTTGAAAGAATTTTTGACACTATTGTTTGCTGGACTCATTTTCCTTGCTTAAATTATACTTAACAACATTTTAATATCGGTCTTCATACTTCCTATTTAGATTTTTAAATTGTATATTTGTTTATTTTAGGAATTTGGAAGATACACAGAACATACAATATAAAATTTTAATTAAGTATAATATTTAAATTTATAACCTTTTGGTACCTTTTATGTTTGAATATACGTTTTTATGGCCTGAATATACACATCAGAATTGGAATAATACTCATATGTGTTTGCCACCTGTCTCCTTTCACTGAATAGTGAATATTCATGTCATTAAGTATCCTTCTACTGACAAGACTTTAATGGCTAATCATTTCCCTGCCTGATGATTCAATGATTGATTTAAGCTATCCTCTATTAGACAATTAAGTTGTTACTAAGTATTTTTATCTTAACAAGTAACATTGTAATGAACAGAGTTCTACAGGAATCTTTTATTGTTTTCCTAAAATAAAATCCTATAGAAGCTACTGTTAAGTCAAATGTAATTTAAACCCACTCTTGAGAATGCTTATTCATCTCATCTCAGAAACATATCACTAATTCGGGAGTTGAGAGAGTGAACAGAAAATAGAAAATAGAGTGAATTCTTGTGTGTTTAGTTATTTAATTCCTATTGTTTAATGCTTACTATATATCAAATACTAGGATTTGAACCCAGGACCTCCTGCTTGCTAGGCAAGTGCTCTGCCACTTGAGCCATGTCCCCAGCCCTTTTTGTTGTTGTTTTTATTTTATTTTTGAGATATGATCTTGCTAACTTTGCCTGGGCTGACTTTGAGTTTGCAATCCTACATTCACCTCCTGAATAGCTGGAATTGCAGGTGTATGCCACTATATCTGGTTTGTATTAGCATTTTATTTATATTATTTAATGTGATTTTCCAACACCTGGAAGGAAAATTTTTTTCTGATACCTATTTTCATAGCTGATTGTAAAAATTAGGAACAAGGCTACACAGGTGATAATGAGTTACTAGAGATTCAAATCTTGATTCCAAAGCCCAATCTTTATTCCTCAGTAAATGGCCTAACAATTGGGGATGGATAATAATCCTTGCCTTCGTGAGTTTATAATCTTGATGCAAGGATGGAGCTAATATACCTTGAGTGAGGAAAAATTAGTGAGTGGAATGAGGTGATTGAAAAGGAGGAAGCAGATGGGAAGTTTACAGGGAAGAAGCATATAGACTCACCCAGACCTGTCTTTGTGCAAAGGCAGTTCAATAGTCTTCCCCATCCCCATCATTCCAAAACATACAATAAGCAAAAAAAAGAGAGTAAACAGAAATTAATGTGGACCCACATTGCATGGGATGTTCAGTATCAAGAACTATGAAGTATATAATATTTTGCCCACTTGTTAGCCAAATTGGCCTACCATAGTTTCCTGAATGCTAACAGAAGGCACAAGACTCCAAGATCAGAGACAAAGGGCTTTATGTTACTCTTCACAAAGCTGGAAGCATGAGTCTTTTGTTTACATTGACTCTCTTTGCCCTGTAAGTCTTAAGGGATGCTGTCGAACTGTCTAGTTGGATACTCTCTATGCAGTGGACTTGCCTCATGGCTACAGAACCCTGAGCTTGGGAAACTAGAGCCTTTTAAAAGGGTTGCTAGCATACCTACCCATATTCTACCCTGCAGGAGACATTGTCTTTTCCATCCTGGACAGCAAATAAAGCTTCCACCTGTTTTTGTTGTTGTTGTTTTTTGTTTTTGCAGTACTGTGGTTTGAACTCAGGGCCTACACTTTGAGCCACTCCACCAGCCCTTTTATTGTGATGGTTTTTTTGAGATAGGGTCTCACAAACTATTTACCTGGACTGGCTTCTAACCGCGATCCTCCTGATCTCTGCCTCCTGATTAGCTAGGATTACAGGTATGAGCCACCAGTGCCCAGCAAGAGAGTAGTATTTTTAACTTCCAAGACTATTTGCTCTATAAACATCATTAAAAATATAATCTATTGAACAAAAGCTAAGATATGAATAAACATGTGAGACTTAGGAGAATTGTCTCCCATTATTTAAGCATTGTACAAAGGGTTGAACTATACGATATATGGCTTCTAAATTGAGTCGTCTAAGTTCCAGTGATCAAAACTTTTAAAAATTCTTTGCAAGATACTATATATTGGACATTATCTTAGGCTCAATATTTCTGACTCTTAATCACATGATTTGTTCTTGGTTATACTGTTAAAAATTCTGAATATGCTTTTAGTATGACTCATGCCTTGATTATGAAAAATTTTTGGTCATTATTCTTTTTGAATATCAATCTTTCTCATACTTTTTACTTTTTAGACTTGAGTGAATGTTAGGACTCCCTACTTTATCTTCCATTTCTTATAATTTCACTCTCTTGGTTTTTATTCATTTATCAATCTCAGCTACTTTCTGGATGAGTTTTTCAGAATTATTTTACAATTCATCAATTCTTTCTTAGAACTGAACCTCATCTAGAAGTTATGCTATATGTTAATTTTTATCCTTTTGTCCATATCAGTATCTGTATTTTTCATTTCTAGGTTTTCTCATAGCCTTATTTTTTTCTATTTATTCTTTATTCATATATGACTTTTTGTGTCTGGTTTCTTACATAAGGCTTTTTTTGTGTGAATACAATTCCCTTCTTTTTCTCTTTGATCTTAAACATACTTTGTAATAGTCATTCAACAAGCATGAACTGTCCTGATTATTGAGCTCACTTGTACACTTAATATCTGTTTTTTTTCTGAGTTTGAGAATTTTAGGATACTCTCCATCTTGAGTGAGAGTTTTTAGTTTTTCTTTTCTGCATTCCCTTCTATTTTTGCCTTAGTCTGACTTCAAGATTCTCTAGTTGAGAGCCTGTCTGCTTCTCATGAGTTGAAGGATATTGCAGATAGGACTGCTGGGCCAGTAGTAAGTGGACCCCATGTGTCTTCTCTGTCCTGCCATCTCCATCATGTGGCTATATATGAATGGAAGTGTCAACTTACCTTCTGTTCCAGGCAAGGAACTCCTCTATGCACCCTTCCCACCCCATCCCCGTTCTTTCCACCAAGCCTAGGTCAGGGCCTGCACTGGGTGCAAGGTGTTTTTGTTCCTTTACCCTCCAGGCCTCTTCTGCCAGTTTCTGGTCCAGGGTTTTGAGTTATCCTACAGTTTCTGTCCTCTTACCCAGTTGTATCCTGCCAGGTCCACTGTAATACTTATCTTGTTTTAGAGAAAGTTGACTCTTTTTTTTTTTTTTCAGTATTGGGGACTAAATCAGAAGCCTCACACTTACTAGGTAACAGTTCTGTCACTTGAGCTATACCCTGAGCCCTTTTGTTTTTGAGATAGGTCTCACTAATTTTGCTTGAGTACCCACGAACTTGTGATCCCCTGCTCCTGCGCACTCTCGAGTAGCTGAAATTTCAGGTTGAACATGGGTCGCAGCCCTGTTTTTGTCTTTTTAATTCTATTTTCAAATATCTTTAAATATTTTATTTTTCACAAGTAAATGTTTGCACAGAGTGGAGGTGAGCTTGAATCATGAACCCATAACACCAACCACAGGTCGTCATCCAGCGTGAAAGGAAAAAGGGATGGTTTTAGCTGCTTGCTTATCTTTTTGCTCATCATCTTTGTATTCACAAAAGCACATGTGCAGACAGGAGGAAAGAGGTTGGTATGCCACTGGCTACTTGTTGGTCACAAGCATCTTCTGGAAGATCATACAAAATTACTGGTCACACTTTCTGAGAATTGATCCTAAATCTGACTGTACTAAATCAATATAGCAAGCTCAAACTTGACATACTTTTTGCATGTGGCATTTATCCTTTGGAATTGAATTGAAGTACACATTTGGCAGGGTAGGGCTTTAAAAAACAGCAAGAAAATGATTTGGCTTTAAGGAAAACCATCCTACTATAAATTAAGTACAAATGAGTGCTTTAAACTTCCTAATGATAGGGAAAGAATATTGGGAAATACCGTGGACCGGATACAAGAACTTATTACTTTAAAGACCTGAATGTAACAAATCACCCTGAACTCTTTCAAATACTCTGATGATGAAGATACATGTGTGTACAGACTACTTTCTGTGATAGACTCCTCAAGTGCAGGTAAATTTGACAGTGTTAGAGAATGCAGACTGAGTCAGGAAAAACTTGAACTCTAAAATATTTTAAGTTTTTCTTTTTGTTTTTTTTGACTATCATATTGTTGTACTGGGGGTACATTGTGACATTTATAAAAGTTTTTATAACATGTAATAGTTGAATTCACCCCTCCACCATTCTTTATCATCCATCCTCCTCATTCGATCAAGATTTAAACATATATGATACCTGTTTTCATACATAAGCTAATTTGTGGTTGAGAAAGTGTACTTTCCGTATCCTGACGCAAATATACAAGACAGCTCAGAAAGAAAAGCAAGTTACTAGGACAATATAAGGAAACTGAGAGAACAGGCAATGTCAGCTAGACATGAAGAAAGGAGCAGCAAGCCCACATCTCTCCCGGCAGGAACTACTGCTGAGGGTTGCACTCACACCCACCATGCTGGCACTTCGCAGCAGTTGGTGGTTCTCAATGCAAATAATATTGCAACCTGATTTGATGCTTGGCGGGTCACTTCTCTGAGTTCTAA